TGCCAAAAATGGAGACATTTCCTCAGAGTAGGTGCCGAGTATGTATGAAAAGACACTAAATCCCAAAAACTAAATTCAGCATCATTTTCAAAAAAAACAAACAACTTTTTGCAGCATAATTTCCATCACTAGTGACTGAAAACACTGTTATCAGCTTGACAGTGAAATACAATATGTTGATGCCTGATAAAAAAGCTTCTGTCAAAAGCACAGAAACAACCTGGATGTGGAGACTCAGCTCCAAACAGGTGGCTGCTGAGCTGTTAGCCTTATAATCAGTGCTTCTGGGCCTAAACTGGACACGACAGTTTGAACCAGCAGCAGACTGAATTCTCTTTAATATGCAGCCTGTTCTCTACCGACTGTTTTGTTATCAGAAACCACTGCCAAATCAGACTTTATATAAGCAGGCTCAAACTTGATCATTTGCAGCCTTAAAGTCCTTTTTTGGTTATCGACTAAACCTCTAAAAGCTCATCTCTGTTGAATAAAAATGACATATTTAGACATTTTCTCCATGAAAGCGACCCCTTTGTGACTTAAAATTAACTAGATTGTGCAACATTGCTTCCTTTATAAGGTGTAGATCTATGAAATCCCTGCTTCTACCTCACCTACCTCCACCTACAACTCTGCAAAACTGCTCTACACAAGACAATAGCATGTTGTAATGCTGGAATAATTCAGCCATACATGTTTGCAGAAATACTCATGTTGGGAAGCATGAACTCTGTCTCTGACTGCAAGCCTCTCTGTGTGGAAAGGTGGATATTTATTGAAATTTATTATGTTGTTTTTGTGATTTTATTTCTATAAGTCCAGTAACTAGAGGCAGCTTAAAGTGAAGTTTATTTGTTTGGGAGACGAACACAATGTATTTAAAAGAAGAAAGCCTCTGCTGCATGTGGTAGATGAGGAGGCAGAAGCTCATGCATGTTGTCCAAAGTAATTTAACTAAATATCGAAGGAAGCACAAAGATTTTGTTCATTTTAAAGGTTCAGTATTGATCTCTGCTAATGGATCTATGAACTCAAGGATTTTTAGAAAATTGTTTGTATTTGTTGTTTACTTTGTCAACTCTATTCTAGCTCTGACCTGATCGGCCAGTTTGAACTCAGTCTGACTCACCGGATGCAGGTATAAACCTGGCACTGGTTGTGCGTTTCATGTAGTTTTCTCCACCCTCTACCTTTCCGTTATTGACATGTTACCGTTTCCAAAATTCTCTTCCCTTTGAGAAACAACAACCGCCCCCAGGCAGCACCCTCCCACACTGAAGACTTCAAGTTTTGCAGAGGATTTGATTCATGCCGCAGACCTGCAAGTTTATTTCAGTGAAACATCCATATTCATGACAATACTGGCCTCCTTGCATGCAAACGTCCAACTCCTTTGCAGGAATACTGTCACTGCATCTTTCATTTAGCTCCCCCCAGGACAGATGTGATTACTTTAAAGAAATACAAACACCTCACATCAAAATGATAATGAGGTGCAGTCAGACCGAGTGGTTTGGCTACGCAAGACTAGCTTTAACTTCGAAGACATCCCAGAACGTTATTGGAACAAAGGTGGTCTGGTGGAATGATGGCACCACTGATCACCATACTAACAAAGATTTTATATGTACTTTCCAGTTTATTTTTCCTTTTGGAGGCTGCTATTAGTTTAGGAGAAATGTTGGGTCGTATGTTTCCGACCTCAAATGTCGCCGTGCTGTACAAAAACTACTCTATACAACACAATGACAATTTATAATATTGGAGTGTTTCAGCCACACATGTTCTGACAAGAAACCAATTCTGAAGAAGGATATGAAAAGTCTCACCCTCCAGGCTGACAGGACTGGTTCTCGAGGTTTTTGGTCCACTGCAGTCTCAAAGTGAAAACCAGTGTCGACTGCTTGTTCCTATAAGTAACACCACATGAACATGCTAACAAGGTAAAAAAACAACCTGATTTTCTTTTCCATTTGTCCCCCTTGTGTCTTGTAGAACAGTTCCAGTTTGTGTCTCAGAGACACCGAGGTTACCCTTTCAGTGCTACGCTGTACGTTAACAGCATCATGGTGGCCAGAATCAGCTCCTGCTGCGAGTACCGCTACGCTCCCGGCTTCCAGCAGGGCAGGAAAAGCTGCTTCAGATTGGCTTGGCTGGCTGGTGGGATCCCCTGCTACAGGTCAGATTTCATCCTCCGGGAGACGCGCGGCGCAATATTGGCAGAAAATTAGAAATTAGTAGCAGTCAAAACAGGCCGGGTAAACCCATTGCTCTGCAGAGATGATGCATTGTGGGTCGACAGATGAGGAAAAAGGATGCATATTGTATGACACGAGGGAATGATGTTGGTGGTGGAAATATGAGTCATCACGAAAGCACATTTTTCTTCTTTTTCAGATGTACAAGTCTGCGAAACAAATACAGCTCCTGCCAACAGCTGAACAACGGCACAAAAGAGAACTTAATTCTCCCTCTAGAGCAGAGCCCTGGCGATGGTACAAAGCCTGGAAATGAGGATCTCAATTTTCCATTACTTCCTTAAGCTTATTCATCAACATTTTGCGACTGTCCTTGATTTGAACGGACTAGTTTAAAGACACAGTTTCCCACAAAGCTTTTTTTTTCTTTCCTCTTTCCCCTCTCATTCTGTCTCCAAAGCAGGCACCATCGAGTCATGTCCATCATCCCCTCTTTTTATCCCGGCCAAACCAGCGAAAAAATCGGTGAGGAGGACAAGAAAACACATCAAAGAAGGCGGCGGTGGGTCCACAGACAGCGAAGACCTCGCCGTAGCCGGAATTAAAGAGACCTCCAAGAAGAAGCGACGCAAGGGTCAAACTAATCAGAAAGGGAGCAAAGGCAAGACAGCTGGAAGTAACAGAGGGGAAGAGGGAGAAGACAGCGAGGGCTCAGAAAGGTCAACGGTGGCAGAAAAGCGTGAGGAGCGAGCGACGTCCACCAGACGGGAGCAGAAACGGGACAAAACAAGCAGCAATGTCACGGCGCCGCAGACGGAGCAGCAGCCGTCGAACATGACAAGGAAAGCTGTCGGTGAGCGCTGTTTGACTCATTTTAGCTGGTTTCATTCCTGTGAGAGAGGATGGAAAAATAGAAGGGGGATGAAACCTTCTGCAAGCAAAAGATACAGATGACCTTCAAGCCATCTGTATGTGTTGTTTCCATTTAATATTCCTTGTGGGGGGAAAAAGAAAAAGAAAAAAAAAAGGGAAAAGTACAAGAGTGTTTCTGTTTAAAGATTCATTGCAGGATGAGGAAGCACTGACTAAGCAGAACGCAGAGAAACAGAAGGACCCGGGATCAAATGGGAAAAACAGAGATGGGGAAAGACTGAAGGACTTCTATGAAGAATGTGTGGAAATGAGTGCAGCGCTGAAGCAGGGCCCAAACAAACACCACTGGTTCAAGGCAAACAGTGAGTAAAGAAACCGCAGCTCCGTCGGAACGAACTGGAATCCCCTGGAGTGCTGTTGCTGATTTACATAATACGCTCCAGCAGAAAGAAAAAAAAAAAGGTTGACTTTTGGAAGAAAGTGATGCATTGAGCAACGTCTGCTTGAAGAGAGATGGATGACGTGTGGCAGAGGTTATGCAGACATTGTTCAAAGAGATGCACACGAACCTGCGTGCGTAAATCTCCGCAGATCTGCTTTCTCAATCGCTCAGACGGCCCCAGATTTTTAGGCTCTGTTATTTACGTGCTCACATTAACAGCGGGTATCAGCATCACTGTGTGCACTTGGCTGTAGGAGAGACATTTTTATTGCACCTGAGTTGTTTAATTGCCTTTCCGCATGCCAAGTCCTGGAGAGGTGCCGGCTCCAGAAGAGGCTGTCAACGTGCCCCGAAGCTCGCGGCTCAGATGTGGAGCTCAGTGCCGAAAGTGACACCGTCCAGCAGCCTGATGGAGAGCCAGAGGAGGAGGAGGAGGAGGAGGAGGAGGACGTGGCTGGCAGCGAGGAGCCTGTTAAAGAACAAGACCTGCAGGCTCAGGTGTGTGTATAACACAAATTACTGTGGTGAATCTGTTTTTATTGCCAGAAGCCCTCTTTGCATCAAATCACTGGCAAAAGCCCTTGAAACAGCCGCATTCACACATTATGCAGAAGTGGGCTTTAATTTGTGTTAGAACCAATAACTTAACTGACAAATAATAGAATAAAGTGTCAACAACTGCCCTTTAAAGTACCACATGCCCCACTGAGTGCTGAACGTACAGTTTTTTTCCCCCCAATACACAGTGACAAATTAAAGCAAAAATCAACAGAACATGTCTTTGGAAGGTGCAGGGTCATCATTTAGCACCAGAACAGCTTCAAGACACCTTGACATTGACTCCAAGTTACCGGAGCTCTACTGGAAGGGATAAAACACCATTTTCCAAAAGATATTCCCTTTGTTTTGTGCTTTAATAATAGTGACGGAGAGCGCAAAAACTCTCATAGCTGCTCGATTGCTTTGAGAGCTGGTGACCACAGCCTATGATTCATATTGTTTTCATCCTCATCACACCGCTCGCTGATCCCCGGTGCCCTCTGGGTGGAGGCGTTGTCGTCCCGGAGGAGATCGCTCCCATCAGGAGAGAAATATTTCATCAAAGGATAAAGGTGATCACTCAGAGAAACTTCACCCTCTAAACTATGCCAGCAAAATGCCCCCCACAGCATAACAAAGCCACCGATTCTCCTCACTGTAGGAATAAAGCATTCATGTGTGTACCATTACCTTGATGTACACAAAACATGAGGCCGGCCATGGCTGAGGTGATAGACGAGGTTGTCCACTAATTGCAAAGTTGGCGGTTTAAAGCGTGGCCCCTCTAAGCACTGAAGCACCTCTGGGCAAGATACTGCATCCCAGCTCTGCCACCATTAAATGGGTGAATTGGAAACATACTGCAAAGCACTTTTTTTAGAATTTAAAGTTAAAAGGTGATGTATAAGTGTGGACCATGTGCCACTATGTAGACCAGCGCCTCACTGAATCTGTAGCAAAGGGGTTTCCCTAATATTCCAATTAGTCAAAATGAGTCATGCCAGACAAGGGGATAAAGATCTTCTCCTGTCACTTTAAAACAGATTGTCGCAACTAATTTAAAGGGACAGTCCTGTTAACTCCCTAGGTACAAAAATAAATACAAAAACCACACAAGATAGAAAAGAACCATAGTCAACAATTTCATCACAGAAATGTTTCAGACAAAAGTCTATTCAATCAACAGAATCCCAACTAAAAATCAGAAAAACACAAAATAATTCCATTTCAGGATCCAGTAAATGAGGTGTGAGAGCGTTGGTGAGGGGCTAAAGCTAAGGCCAGGCAAAGGGATAACATAGCCTAAGGAGAGGAGATTTGGTAAGAAATAAAGGAGACTTATCTCAACAGACATCCATGAAATCGAGAGTTGGTGGAAAGAGGTTCATCCAGTCCTGCTTCTGGGATCAGCTCACAGTTTCTTTGGGACCACATGTCACATGTCCAGCTGGTTCTGGGTTTTACAGCCATTCCATTGACTTTAATACGTCCAATTTGAAGCAAAGACGACCAGAAGCTGGATTAGTCTTTCTGAAATCTCCTGTTCCCAACTTTCCCTTCACTCCATTGTTCTTCATGCTTCCTTTGTTTGTCACAAACAGGTGTTCCTGCTTTAACACCTCACTTCCTGTCTACACTTCCTTTGAGGAGGAAAAAAGGGCTGTTCTGTCTGTTTTACTTTCCTCTTCTGCTACAAACTTTTAAAAACACATTTATCTTTTTAACGAGAGGTTCATTCACAGCAACCCTTCTATAATATCCCTCTCTATGCGATTGTCAGTGGGTATCTTTGACATACAATCTCATTGACATTCTTGGTCAACTTTTTCCTTTTCAGTAATGCACAAGCATGACAGTCATCCAGTATGAGCTGTTGACCACACTGTCCAACTCTAGTTGTCGATGTCTTTAGATTAGATTAGATTAGATTAGATTAGATATAATTTTATTGATCCTTTGGTAGGTGTACCTCAGGGAAATTGTTGTATTTGCAACAACACAACACCGACAGAGACAGTAGCACACATCAATCAAGAAAAAAGAGCAGTAGACAAGAAAAACAAAGGAAACAAACTGTTAGAACAGCAGCACAGTGTAATACTGGTAATAATAATAATAATAGTAATAATAGCAATGCAAATAATAATGATAGATATAAATATAGTTGAGTATATAAATATAAAGGTATCATTATATATATATAAAGAACATAATAAATAGCTATGTACATAAATATATATGTGTATATATACATTGCACAACAACAGTAGCAGCACAGTGCAATATTAGTAATAACAACAACAACAACAATAATAGTGGAAACAGTAACAGTGACAAAATATTGCACCCACAGATTTAAATCCAGATGTTGCGTTTGAGCTTTCTTAGCAGCTCCTGCCATCCGTGCCTCAACATTTAACTCTCTCTCAGAGACATCTTTTCCGTTTGCCATCTTGATGCAAAATCCTGACCAACAGGTTCTGCTCAGCATCTTTGTACATGTCACAGAGCACGACTGGATGCAATTACCTAATTGCACCTTTGTGGAAGCATTTATTGTGCTTCTCCACTCACTGACTAAAGTTTTTCCTTTAATTTATCATCTGTCTGTATATACTGATCAGCCACAGTATTAAATCACCTGAAAAATATTGTGCAGGTTCTCCTTAAGTCTCCAGAACAGCTTTGATTATTGGAGCATAGACACTTCTTGTGGGCATCCTGTGGCACCAGGATGTTGGCAGCAGATTCTTTGGGTCCAGTGGGTTGCAGGATGAGGCCTCCATGGATCGGATTTGTTTCAGTGCATCTTGTGGATGCTCAACAGATGGAGGTCTAGAGAGTTTGGGGGCCTGGCGAATGCCTCGGGCTCTTCGGTGTGTTCCTTGAGCCTTTGCGAAGCAGTTTTTGTGGTGTGTTGCATTGTCCAACTAGGGAGGTGTTGTTGCCATGCTGTGCTTGGTCTGGAACAATGTTTAGTTGGGTGGTGCATATCAAAGTAAGATATCCCAGCAGAGCATTGCATTTTAATAACATGAATAATATTATTCACTTTAGCTGTCAGTGGTTTTAATGTTTTAATGTTTAGTGTTGGTGTTTTAACTGAGAGAAATACTCAAACATAAGGATTTAATAAGTTTCTTTCTATTTATAACTGATCCATATTTTCACACACACATTTACTTTTTTTGGATTCAAACCCAAGACACTGTATGTTTTAATGAATGCACCATCACGTAACAATATTCCAAATACACACTGGAAACTTTAAGACTCTTTGCACCAAAAGAACTCCATTTGTTTTACTTTTGCGGGTTTGAACAAGGTTTGGCAGTGGACCACTGTTGCATGCCATATTCAAATCATATTTTCCTGTTCATGATTGACTATTTAGCTTTTAGTCTAAATAGGAAAGTTATACTAATAACTAAAAAAAGTATCCATGATGCCACAGGAGAAAGGACATTGGAATAGAAATGACAAAAGTAAAAACTCAAGATGCAAATTTTATAGTTAATGTAGTTTAAATAGGATGAGGCTGATGATTTATACCTCATAATGTTCAAAATGCCACAAATCTACCACAATATCATAAAAATGGAAACATATCTTGGCTGTGTAATGATTCTTTGATAAAAACTTTGATTATTTCACTAGAGATTAATTCTATTCTAACAGGATATTGCAAAGTTTGGAACATTATCAGACAAATGGCTGTAACAAATGGTCACTGAGTTTTATCTGGGGCACGCAGGAGCTCGGCTCGGTCAAAGCGATCATGATGAGAAAGCTTCCAACGGTGCCTGAAAAATTCCTCAAGGTCTAGCAAAGTGGCCCAGTGGACGTGGCCGACAGCCAGACCATATGTCTCTCTGGACTCTCATCTCGCCGCTGTGTTTAGAAAACCTCCAGCACCTGCCTCGATCACGTCTCCTTCCCGACCGACGGCACATTTTGAAGCTCTGCTGCTCGCACGTACAAAACAGTAAATACTTAATGTTTGCAACGCTCAGGGCCGGGATGCTAAATGTATTTCTGTATGAAGGACAAAATAATCTGTCTGTGCTCCAAAATGCGATTTCTGCATTTTATGGAAACTTGAGCTGTCTGGTAATTGAGGTGAACTAGAAGTTAGATGAGATATTTCTGTTTGTATCACTTCTTTGCAGGACTGCATTCTCATGTAAGGATTACAGAACAGAAAAAAAAAAAACATTCAAAATAAAATCAGTGACTACATAGCAACTTCTTTTTCACAGTTATATAACCTGTTGGCCTTCTAAAATCTTTCAGAAGAACAGCAGACAAACTCTAAAAATGCATACCGGGGATAAGACGACCTTTTGGAAATGAAATGTCTCACAGCAAGTCAAACCGAATTCAAACATAACATTCAAACACTTCTGTGGCTTTCTCTCGGTTTTGTAAATGTAGCTTGACGCCATGATGGCGGTGCTGAGCAGGTCAGACGAGGTGGAGCAGCTGGTTCTGAGGAACACCGACCTGACGGACGACCTTCTGCTGAGCCTGGCGGCGGCGCTGAAGAGCAGCCCGTCCGAGGTCACGCTGCTCAACCTCAACCTCAACCTCATCGGGCCCTACGGGGCTCACATCCTGCTGGACGTTCTCCGAGTGAAGCCTCAGGTCAAAGGGTTGCAGTAAGTCCACTGAGCCGCTTCACATGAGAAACTGAGAAAGAATTCAGGAAAAAAAAAAAAAACCCCCACTGGAAACACGCATATCCAAGAGCCATTTAAAAGCATTCTAATATGAGTGCAGAAAAGAAAATAACAGAACCGAAGAGACAGTAAAAAGACGCAACACATCCAAGGACGGTCTACGCGGTAAAAAAAAAATAAAAAAAATCATTGCTTTCCACTGTTGAATTGCACAATCCATCTCTTTTATGTGAACAAAGGAATGCCTCCAGAGCCTTACCTTTCTGAATTATTTCCTTTTTTCTACCACAAAATACAGTAAGTGTGCTCGAGCTTGTCTCCGTGACATTGGCTCAGAGAAATACCGACAGATTTAGAAAGTTAAAGTGTGCGCTGACACATATGAGGAAAGAGCGCGACCACGAGCGCGCATCGAATACAGGACAAATGAACGGCCTGTTCAGTGACATAGTTTGACATGTTGGGGGAATAAGCCTATTTCTCTGTGAAGGAAATGGAAAAGATTGATACAACTCTCGTACCTGCGTGGTCAATATAAGACTACAGCTGAGCTTAACTTAGTACAACTGGCTGGAAGCAGTTGCCAGGCAACCCGACAGAGGCTACGGGATGCTACTGGTCACTGGAATGAGGTAGTTCAGCGCGCAACGCCCCATAAAAGCGAATAAAAACATTTTTACACTTCAGATTTATTAAACAAAGAAGCCGGTACTGAGCTGGTAGACTGATTTTGTTACATCTGGGAAATGTCTGACAGGTTACTTGTGTGTGCTTGTGCTGGCTAAGCTAACTAGCTGCTAGTGCTACTTATATTTAACCGACAAACAAGAGAGTGGCGTTGATCTTCTCATCTGATTTTCCAGAAATTAACATGTATCACAAACTGTTTTTTTTTTAAACAGGGTTAGAGAGTAAAATTAAACATGTCCCTGTAAACACAGAAATTTTGAATGAAACAATAATAAAAATGTATTTATACATTTCAGCAGTACTCCTGAATGCATCGATTCAAACTATCATACAAGTGTTGAAATCCCTAAAGCCCCTATCTGGTTACTGAGTCATTTCCACGTTAGGAGAACACTTTTTTTTTTGTTTTTGCATTTGCTATTTAACTGCAGCCCGTGTAGCTGCGACTAATACCCCCTCCAAACCTTACCCTAACCTATCTAAACTATTTAGTGTGTTATGCAAATGCCATTTTAATAAAAAAAATGCAAAGGGGCAAGCTATATATATGCAATTCTATTATATTCCATTAGTTTTTCCATTAAAATAATCCCTTCCTGATTGAAGTTGACCTAAATGTAACTCTGTATGACTCCACTCAGACATTGTAAAACTAGTCTATGCTGCACAGTTATTAATAATTCAGCCATATTCAAGCTAGAAATGTAATATATATGATATATGATATATGTATGAAATATGATGTGGCTGCTTGCATATATAAAATATATTACAGCCACGGTAACAAGGCACAGAACTGGATTTTTACAGAAGGTGGTCTTTACGTCAGGCTTAAGTTCAATATTTGTTAGAGAGCATCACCGCGCGAGATACCATCCAAATATTACCTGCAGGAAAACAATGTAAATATATGAGTTTCTTGCAACATTTGGTAAACTGGTATAGTTTATAAAATAACTGTCATTGAAGCCTGTCTATTTTGCTCATGATGTGTCTTCCAACACATAAAAAACACTCTATGGAGGTTAAAAAACAAAACAAAACAAAAGCCTGAGATGATCTTTAAAGGTGCCACATAAAAAAACTAGGAATACAGATTTTTCTACACACATGAAGATAGAAAATATATACGAGATATTGGCATACAGTGTGAAAAATCTGCTTTTTTGTCACATGTGGGAAATCTTTATATCAGAATGCAGTTAATGGAGGACTGGAATAAATCTCCATGGTTACCTTTTTTTTTCTCTCTCTTTGCAGCTTGTTTGGAAACAAACTGCGCGATCACGGACTTCTGACCCTGTTGAACGGAATCGTGGAGCTGCAGGAACAAACGGCAAGAGCTGCTGCTGCCCTCCAGCAGGCCATGCTTTTCCCGTCGGAGCAGTTACTGCAGCTGCCCACCGGGTGGAGCTCTTTCAGGGCTTTTGCTCTTCTGGAGCTGGACGTCGGGGGAAACGGCCTGAGCAGCGAGGGGGTAAAGGTGCTAGCATCATATGTGAGATCCCACTCCTATCTGCAGTACTTAGGGCTGGCTCAGACCAGCGGCGCTGATCTGGCGGCGTGGAAGGAACTTTTCGACAGCCTAAAAGGAAACGGCTCACTGACCCAGATCATCCTGGATGAGAACAACCTGGGAGACCCCGGGGTGAGGCTGCTGGCCGACATGCTGAAAGAGAACGCGAGTCTGAGGCAGGTGGATCTGGACAGGAACGGCATCAGCGACGTGGGAGGAAACGACATCATGGGCGCGTTGCTTTGCAGGACGCAGTTTCCGCTGCTGCATCTGAGCCTCCAGGAGAACGGCATCAGCGCGGGACTAATGAGCAGGATACAGGAGGAGGTGAAATACACATGAATCCTGCAGGACACACATGCAAACCATGAGAAGCTGCAACGTAAACAAAGCGCAACTCAAAAGATTCTTTGTTTACAGTCTGAGGTCAGAGAGGAAAAAAACCTGACTCATTTGACTTGTTTGACCATCAAACACGCTAAGATCTCTTCCTTCCTAAAACTGGGTGGCCCCCGCTCGCAAATGCCGCATCTCAGTTTAGTCCAGGCAGGTAGTGTGGGAGGCTTGTTTGCTTTCGAGCTGCTCTGCGGTCTGGATGCATTTTCAAAGAGATATCAATGAACTGAACCTTTCTTCTGTGTGGTGAGGTTACATCTCCAACCTTGGTATTTTTTCTCCCTTCTTCTTCCCACCAGCGTTACCCCTCATGACTCCACACCTACTTTGCTAAAAAACCGACTGCGGCTCAAGGCTCGCTGATCCCTCTGTCATCTTATTGAATAATTTGCTGCCTCCTGACAAAAGAGAAACCGCAGTGATTCATTCCACCCACAGAATTTACAAGTGGATGACTTACCCACGACATATCTCCCCATCCCCACACACCCCCCAACAACATTACAGTAGCCATCATCGGATCGCCTTTCTCCACTTCTACAAATCAAAAGAGAGTTACGGACATCTAAGCCATGCCACGTCAACCACCCTCATTTTGTTGTTTTTGTCTCTTCATGTGCGAGACAGTGCTTCTATTCACAATCTAAGCATGAGAAAGACAGAGAGAGAGAGAGAGAGAGAAAAAGCCAAAACTAGGGCAAATTCATCTGAATTTCGAGGCCGTCATCTCATTGTTCTATCAACACAGACATTCTGAGAATAACTGTACCTGTGATCAAAGCTTGTCAAAGTGGTAATTATCTCCTCCTCTCAGGGCTGCCAGTAGTGATTCCGCTGAAACCAACCCGTCCATATTTCATCTGCAGTCTTTGCGAATTCCTTTCTGCGGAACCCTGATAAAGACGCTCCCCCGAACCCCCAGGAGGATGACAGATAAATGAGGCTGGCGTTCCTGAAGATAACATCTGCAGAAGTTATCCTGCTTTGCTTGTCTCGGGCCGAATGCGTTTCTGTCTGCGGTGTTTCAAAGCCTGTGAGGCGAAAATAAAATAAATGTCTTTATTTTAGGAATTGTGTTGTGTGAGGTCATTTGCTTTGTTTTGCAGATGAGACATGAGATTTTTGTTATCAGTACTAAAAAAAAAAAAAAGAGCTTCTTTTCTTAAGATCTTGTCATTTGTAGTAGATCCAATACAGAACTAAGTGGTACACCATCATGCCTGGCTGAGCATAAGCCGGCGAACAAGAGGCGCACTGTGATTCGCAGACTCCTTCGATAAGGACTTTGTGGCTTCTCTGTTACAGGTAAAACTCAGATCAGTGACCCCATTGTCCGTCTGTTAGTGTATTTGGCCTGAGAGAAATCCTGCGGTGTTACAAGCTTCTTTCAGCTGCTCTTCCCAAAAAACGAGGCCCTCAACCAGAGAAGCGCAATCTGTTAGGAATTTAGAGGTTTTCGCTCGAGGAACAGTTTCTCCTTTGTCGGCTACTGTACCGTATCATGCGGTGCCGTACGGTCGCATGAGGCCTTGTTAGTGCCGCTGTTGAAAAATCAAGTTAAATACATCATTTGTCAATAGTGCTGATAAGAACAGACCTACACAGCTAAAAGATGAAGTAACTAAATCTTTGAAAGCAAGATAGAGTTCTGACTATACTGTAAACAAATGGCCAAACCTATCTTCCCAGTCAGTGCTGCAGAATGGTCTGGTCGCACCTCATCATTATTCTGCTTTAGGGGGGACGATGCTCTGTTTGTTTTTCTTTCAACCACTTACGGTCATCTTAGGCCAGTGGTTGGCAACTGGAGTCGCATGGGGCTCTTTCATACCTCTCCTGAGGCTCCTTGTGGCTTTGGAAAATAGATAATGAGTACTTAATTTAAATCAGTTTTATGTTAGTTTGCTAGTTTTTAAAATCTAGTTCTAAATTTGAAGATTATGGTGATCTTGTAACATTAAAATAAAACACGTTCCATTCTTTGTTGCCCAAAATATGCGTCACAACTGCCGATGTGCGACACCAACTTGGTGACTTTCTTGCTAAATCTGGCAGCTTTCCACATCTGCTGGCTCTTTCTGGTGTTACTGGAGACTTTTCTGGTGTTTTAGAGACTCTGAATCGTTCTCCAGTTACTGTCCTCAGCGAGCAGCAGTGCAACACTGCTCACAGGTGCTCAGGAGTCTGGTCCCCCAGCAGGACAAGCAGATGTCATTTTTACTTTGCTGCAGGTGGATAATTTAAGTTCAGCTTTTTTTAAACTTCATATATACGAGGAGGACTCAAACAGACATTGAGTATTTTATTTGAAAGTAACCTCCAACCTCTTTTTTTTTTTTCGTGTTGTTTTCTCTGTAGCAGTTCATTGATTTCATAAATGCAATACACTATGTATATGTTTTTATACACATAGCATAAAGGTAAGAAATGATATATGCAGTGTTATAGGGTTTTGTTCTCCCGGTGCTTTGTTTTCCATGGGAAACGGGTCCAAATGGCTCTTTGAGTGTTTAAGGTTGCCGACCCCTGTCTTAGGCAGTGGTAAGTCCAGGATGTAGCTACAGCGTGCCTACATAATGGCTAATAGCTAATCCACGATAAAAAAAATCCAACTTGCCTTAGTGCACGATCCAAATCATCCTCACACCTCTTACTGCTCAGGTTGCTGGAGGTTGCTTTCACATTAACTACAAAAGCTCAATCTGTTAGCAATTCACAGGTTTGCTAGAGAAACAGTGAACCTTTCAGGCATTTGTAGACTACTGTTAACTTTTTTTGGTGCCGTACACTCACATAAGGCCTTGGTAGTGTAGTCGTTGCTGTACAATTCTGAAATAGTAAGAACAGACCTATACAGCTAAAAGATAAACCAACCAAATCTTTATACAGCAAAGCCAGAGCTGTAAATATATTGTAAATAACTCACTAGATCTGGCTTCACAGTGCTGCAGAATGGTCTGGTCACACCTCATTATTATTCTGCTATCGGGGGAAATGCTCTGCTGTGTTTGTATTTCTTTCAACCCATCACAGTTGTCGTAGGCAGTGCTAAGCCCAAGATGTGACAACAGCGTGGCTTCAAAACAGTAACGGCTAATTCACTGAAAAAAACAAACAGGGCTGCCTCAGATTTAAGGTTGCTGCTTGTAGATTGCTGTTGTTTCTATATGAACTACAAAAGCTCAATCTGTTAGGAATTTGGAGATTTGCTCGAGGAACAGTTTGCCCCTCAGGCCTTTGTAGGCTAATGTACAGCATCTCTTGGTGCCACACATATATCGGGTGTTGTTAGTGCTGCTGCTGTTGTACAATCCTGGAATAATCAAGTCAACCACATCGTTCATCAACAATGCTGATAAGAACAGAGCTAAAAGATGAACTACCTAAATCTTTAAAAAGCAAGGAATTACTCATACGGCTGAAGGCAGCACAGATACAAGCAGCGTGTAGGATTCTTTTTAGATAACCAATACTGCGCTGTGAGGAAACAGTAAAAAGGAAAGTCTTGGGAATCGAGTTTCTTGACTCTGACTCAGGGCAAAAAACAAGACAAATGAAGTGAACAATGGCTACCTCCCCTCATGGGAAGTTCAATGATTCAGACTTCCTTTAAGTTTCCTGGGCAGGGTGATGCAATTTATTTCCACTTACAGTATATAAAGGGTCAGTGTCTGTTTGCAGGCCCATTAACTTTTGATGTCTTTGTAATGTCCTCTGGATACACACAGGTGAGTCCAACTCTTTCAAATTTCAAGCGAGCTTTTCAAATGTGCTTCCGGCATCGCTACAGGGATGACAGGTAAGTCAGATCATACACTTTGAAATGTACATTTCAACAACTGCTAAGTGGACCTGCGTGAAATATTGCACAGACTTTCATGGCTCATACATGATGCAGCCACAGACAGCGCACCACCATGAGGCTGACATTTTCAATTCTTAGTGGAATCTCCTGATGGTTAAATGTTTGCTGTAGCTATTCAAGTTCACCTCTGAATAAAACATCCTAGCTCTAGTGTTGCCTTAACCCTATTCATGTTTCCATACGTAGATGGTCTTTTGGGGTCCATTGGACGCCAAGAAAGAATATGTGCAAAGTATTTGTTGGTATTCATTATAGACCTTTATACTATGTTAAATCAATTTTCTGATAAGTTGATGTATTTTTGGTTCCAAATGCATGACAAATGTCCCTCTTTTTATATTTAAAAAAAATTAAACTTTCAAAAATTAAAAAAAAAGCCTGTCACCTAAACCAAATGGCCTGGGGTGTCATGTCTGTCAAGTTTCTGTTCATGTCTGCACATTATGTCTCGTCTTTCCTGTTTTATTTTGAAATCACTTCACTGGGCGTTCTGTTCTAGCTTTACTTCCTGTACCTGTCTTGTCTCACCTGCTCCCTGATTACCTCCCCACACCTGTTTCCCATCTACCCTCATTACCTCGTGTATATTACCCTGTGTGTCTCACTGTCTCATCGCCAGTTTGTTGCACTTCACAGTCCTCGTACCAGTGTTATCCAAGTTATGTCACAATCTGTTTGATCTCGACCTTGTTTCTGCTTTTGGACTTTACCTCTGCCCGCCGATTCTTGGATGCTTCTGCCTGTTGGACTGAATTTCTGTGTACCGAACCCTGACCGTCATTAAACCTGTCTTTTGCCCGAGTCAAGCATTTGTATCCACCTATTCTGTTAAGTGAGTTCATGACATGGGGTCCAAAAGACCCCAAAAGTCCTGAATAGGGTTAATCTTCCATTTAGTATTGTCATCAATCATCAAAATTTTAATTTTTCCAGTGCTTTGGATGACCAAACGTCTGCATTTAGTGCTAAACAACTAAATGCTATCTGCTAAACAAAGATGGTAAATATTACAAATTTGTCTTGTAACGTCTTGTAAATGTTCTCTTCCAATATGGAGTACCTGAATAGCAAACTCTTCACTCATATCCAGTCTTTTCAAGTTGTAGCTGTTGCCATATAGATTGTTAGTTGTAGGGGTGGGCTTGTTTCCTCCCTTTTATGACAGACAAGTCGAGAGGTATTGTGTTTTAGTTTGTAAATTGTGTTTAGATGATCTTGTTCGTGTTTTCTTTAGACAGATGTCTGTTATTTTGGCCTCCCCTAAAGCAATATGCAACTCCTTAAACCTGTAAGTGTGATGTAAGTGCATATATCCAATCTTAACAATCTGCTTCAGTGGCTGCTTGGGACCCGGGGAGGATGGCTCACTTTCACATTTACCTAGACATAACAACCTCATTATAGCTGCAGCCGGATTACTCACCAAGACCTCATATGGCTCTCATATCACCCAGGTGTGATGTCTCCACAGTGTCTCCTGATTAAATTTGCAATCCAATTTTCGATCTATCCAACAGTCTTGCCTGCTTAATCTAACACACACAGCGCTGCGTCAGTGCTGCAGAATGGTCTGACTACTCAATATCATTCTGCAATCGGGGAACAAAAACACTGTGGCGTGTTTGTATTTCTGTGACCAAGTCATTTTGGGCAGCGCTGAAGGATGTAGTGACAGTGTCGCTGCAAAAAAAAAAAAAAGCGCTGGGAGAATTGTTTTGGTGGAACACGTGAATGCACAGAGGTGAGTGCTGTCATGACGGCTAATTTACAAAAAAACAAAAAAAAACAGCCAAGTTTTCTTCAAAACTTTCCATTTTTAGTGATTAGGTTGCTGCTTGGAGGCTGTTGTTTCTGCATGAAATATAGTGGTGGAAATGGCACTCTTATACCTGAAGTCTATATCTGGTGAGTCTATAGACTGTATAAAAGATGGACGTAGCTACCGTGACGTCACCCGTTGGTTTCTGCACTGAGAAAATGAAGCCAGGGTTTTGCTACTTCCTGGTTGANAACTACAAAAGCTCAATCTGTTAGGAATTTGGAGATTTGCTCGAGGAACAGTTTGCCCCTCAGGCCTTTGTAGGCTAATGTACAGCATCTCTTGGTGCCACACATATATCGGGTGTTGTTAGTGCTGCTGCTGTTGTACAATCCTGGAATAATCAAGTCAACCACATCGTTCATCAACAATGCTGATAAGAA